TTAGGTCTTCTGAGGACTTTATGTGGTGTAAAAGTATCATCACTGCGGTTGTACCAGTCCGACACCACACTTCCAACTGTACCCTCAGCTACACCCAATATCTCAGCAATATGCTTGCGTAATGTTAGCTTATGATGATCATTACTTGTAGAGCTATCCCCAAAAGATAGTTGTGAATGTTAATTATCATTGATTTTTCGTTATCTGTTAATGGTGCACCATTTCGTTTTAGGAAATGAGAATACATGGTATGGAAAAAAATTTTTGAGAGAATGTGTGTTTGGATATGTTCTAACAAATTCTTGAATATCAGCCCACCTTATTTAAGTCATACGATATTTTTATTGGCGTAAATCCATCCCTTTTTTGGTGAGGTACAAATCTTTTCGCACCGGACTATACCTGTTTAGATACCAGATTCTATATTAAAGTACTTACCTTTTGCGCCTATTTGGTTGCCCACCAAAATGCCGAAATATGGTAAAAAAATATTGCGTCGGGTGGCGCAGTAGATCTGCGATTAATTTTGGCCGGCACTATACCATAATTTTGGCCGATCTTTTGGGCATGTGATTCGAGGATCCAGCTTAGTACCATGATGGTAACCTGATAGTATCCTGGAACTGTTATGGAACCGGCAGGGAACTGGCAGGGGATTACCATGGAAATGTTATGGAACTGGTAGTTTGCCAGCTTGGATGCCGAATTATTATGTCCAAAGGCCGATTTTATGGAATAGTACTGGCCGAAATTATGGTGCGAATCTTGACTGCGCCTTACTTTGCCATAGTCACGTGATACTGTTCTGGTGACAGAACACCCTCTGTCATAATATAGCAAATTCGGCTAATTCTATTCACCAGTTTGGAGGTATGATATGCATTATTATGGCCAGCCCATTTGATTGTTAAAAAGTGCGCATATTGTGATCCAACTATTACCTATTAGTTGCCGGTAATATGTATGCCGATTTCATATCCAAGATTGGAGGTGCGATTTGTATTACTATGGCCAGCCTATTTGATTGCCAGAAGTGCACCATTTCACAATCCAACTATTGCCTATTTGTTGCCGGCATATTGGCAGGACATTGTAAGCACTTCCGAGGTCCGATTATGGTTTAAACTGGGTCAAGGCAGTATGTATGCTATTTTTTGAGCGTCCCTAGTGTCCCTAGCGAAAATTTTCTGAGGACACTTTCTAGGGACAACTATGATATCGATTTTGGGGGTTTTAAGTTTACTGATTATGTTCTTCTATGATTGTCCCTAGTGTCCCTAGTGTCCTTAGTAAAAGTAAAGTTATAGGAAAAAATTCGAAACTTATCCTATGC